AAATTCAATAAAATGCAAGAATATTCAAAAATACTAAAATCAAGGCATTAAATTAAGAGCTCTCTAATCTTTTGATTAAGTATTTCCATGCCAAAGGCAACTCTTCTGAATCTTTAGAATTAATGCATGCATCATGTAACCTGCTCTTATATATTTCAATTTTTTTGGCGCAAATCGCCAATGTCGGTGAATGTACTGGTTTAATAATACTTGCTTTGTCCCATTTGACAACTGAGCCCTCAACTTGTGCCATTTGCGATAGTGTTGTGGCATTAGATCCCTTGCTGATATTGTATTTGTGTTCTTTTAATCTGACTCCTAAGTTCCTATTAGTGACACCAATGTAATTTTTATTAATGTCTAGTTCACAATTTTCATACGGAATCTTGTACACTCCTATTCTTTTTTCTTTATCCATGATGTCTTTGTTGTTCCTTAATAATTTGTACAGGTTAGGAGCTCTCTTGAAAACTAACTTGGACTTTTTGCAGGCTGAGATTTCCTTCATGATGGCTTTTTTCTTTCTATCATAAGTGAACTTTCTGATTGTGTCGAAATCTCTGCCTTGAGCCTTAGTTTTGTTTATTTTTTAATTTCTGATCAATGTTGTTATCATATCTGCTCTGTATTTTAGAGATCTGGCAATATGTAATATTCTATTAATTTCTTTTTGCCTATCCACCACACTACTGCAATAGAGAAAGGCCCTTTGGACAAGGGCACGGAAGGNTAATAGGTTCGGCTAGAACGCTGGCCACCTTGCAGGGTATTGTTACGACGTCGATCGATACCGTTCCGAATTCTAGTACTGCTCAACCACCCACCCATAGTCTTCCCAGAAGAGGATCCGGTGGACTAGAATTGTTCAGTGGATTTTGGCGCTCCAGGACAACAGACATATCTTCCGATCCCCCACCGTCTTCTGGTCGTTTTATTTTGCCCAGGCAATCCTATTCGGTCGATTCTCATTGTCCCGAGTCGTTTTTTAGAGGATCCAGAAGTGATCAGCAGCTCTGTACAAACGTATCCTTACCTCTGGCAAACCAAGGAGGTGCCTCAGGGATCTCTGCCATCGAAGAGCGGCTGTTGTGCCAACCACGAAGAGGTTCTGTACCTTTAGAAGTATCGTTTATTTCCCTTCTAACAGGTAACGTTTTGAAAAGCAAGAAATTTTTATTCCGTTTTGCATTATCGATTAAATTATCCGATTCCTCTTTACAGGTAAACCAAACTACAGAGACACCAAGTGAATCCCAAAACCCGAATCCCACTATTACCTCTATCTATGCAAGTCCACCAAACTGCGTAGTCCTAGGCTTTTCCATAAAAAAAGAAAAATTTCTTCGTTTTCTCCTGGAAATTCCTATAACTTTCCAGAAAAACTATTCACCTTTATGCATTGCAAAATATCTTAATGTTAATTTTGTTGATTTATTTGTCCAGCAATTTCCAAACAACAGAATACCATTCACCGACCATCTTTTCCCAAATGTCGTTGATGGATGTATATCTGTATTGTTGTAATGACGAGTAAAAAGTACTCTTATGTTGTGCATCTGGACATTGTAAAAAACACTTCTGAGTATAGTCGGTGTCGTGATCTCGACAAGATTGCTGGTATGTCAATGAGTCAGTAAACACGATGACAAATATTTTGTTGCTGTTGTTTTTTAATACGGTAGAATTTCATTTCATTTCGTTTCATTAAAGAATGAGAGACTGTCTATCCAAGCTACCTTTAGACCGACGTTTTGTAATTTAGTTGTAGATCCTCCTCCCGAGATCGACTTGCCGAGTTTAGTTTTAATGTAATTGATGAAATGATTTTAAATAAACTCCGTCCACTAAACATCCGCCATCTTCATAATTTTTTTCGATTCTGCTCCCTAACGGATGCTAGATAAAGATTAGGATGCTAATCTTTTGTATCGAGTCTAAACAATACGAGTAGAAACAGGAATTTTACTTAAAGTTAGCTTGGAAAGACAATTGTTAACTCATTAACGAGGATATCTTTCACTGAAGTAAAGAATTTTGTGAACAATGCAAAGTGGCATCAAATAATTACTTTCGTAAACGATATTTTAAAAATAATAATAAAATGAATTCGAAAACAAGTTTGTTAATTAAATATTCTCGATTCTGTGAATTTGTGAAGAAATATATATAATTATAGAAAACTTACAAGCACGTGTTAAGTGTATATCTGGAATTAATGTTTTATTTCTGGTGTTTCGTATGATGAGCACACATCTTTCGATCAATTCTGTAACTGGAATGAGATAAATTAAATTTAAAAGAAAAAAATTTAAACGCTTTTCGTTAAAATAATAATCTCGATATACAAATCTTGACGTCTAAAAATGAGAAAAATATCTTCGATAAGAAAGAACATATCTGTATAATGGTTTTTATTTGATATTGTTTAATTGGATTGGATTGACGGGACAAGGCAATGATCCGCTTTACGGGAGGACTTTCAATTGTAAACTGGACCAGGCTTAGGTGGAGAACGGGTGAAGAAAACCCACCAACTCGCCATAAGTACTAGTTTTATCCACTACACTGTGGTGGGCTTGTTTAATACAAAGCTACATTAAACTCTGTCCAATTTTTCCTGGCATAAAGAAAATTTACAGCAAAAAAATCAATTTTTAAAGCGAATCCGAAAACAAAAAACGTTGGTAACAGATCGGTATATGAAAAATTTTTAATTAAAAATCTAATCTAAACTGTAATAATCCTCCCGACAGATATTGATTCTCTTTCAACTTTTGCTATACTGTTAACATTTAATGGTTCCTCGCTATACTGTACCTCTACTCAAACTATATACGTTTTGTAATTTTCTATATTATTTGTAATTCTACCCCGTTTGAACCTAAGAGATGCCGCTTCGATGGTATTCCGGAAGACGAAAATGGCACCAATTTGGTGCATAGGACACTATAAACGTTACGATTCGTTAAATTCGTTACGACAATAAATAATCTCGTGATTTCGAAGGTCATTTGTAAATACGACATTTTTTTGGCCGTATTGTCTTTACTATCGAACAAGGCATTAATTGTACGGAGTCATCCTTCAATGTCAGGCAATTTTCAATTTTTTCTTCACTAACGCGTTACACAAAAGTAGAAAATCTTTTCCTATCAAGAATGAGGAAGTGCACTTGAATTATTCTATATTTACAACATTTTTTTAATTTACCAAAATTCTAAATTAATTCACAAGTTCGAAAATGTTAGGGGAATGGACGGAAAATTCACCTTAAAATACGCTTCTACGGTGCATTTAATGGATGAGAACACTGAAATAATTTATTACAGTTTGAGACGACGGCGATGACTTATTTTTTTAATTAAGATTTATTATTTGGTAAATCCTCGTTAGCGTATGTAAACTTAAAGTAATTGTAAGGTCGTTTCTCATTCTCTGGACGAACTTCAACGAGGTAAAAAAGTGTATTCGTCGAGTGCACTTCTGATATTATCTTACATTTTCTCGAGTGTGACACTCGATCTTCACTTTTAAGAATTTCTCCTTTATTATTCCACTTTGGTTAACGTGTTTACGCTTTGCGATAAGCCACTTTTTTCTCATTATTTTAATAAGAACTTCGTTCTCGGACGTCGGTTCCATATTTTAATACTAAAACTTGAATTTAACGCAAAACTTTAAAATCAAAAAGAAACGACAATATAAATTACTTCTTTGGTGTTTCACCACTGTTTTTAGGATCAATTAAAATGCTAACAAATGCCTAATGTGTGAAAACAATGCGAAACTTGGGCATTTAAGGATCCCATTCGTACGTCTCTTCTATAAAATACTTTTGAAAATCATGTATATCATATATTTAAAAAAAAACAAAATATTTTAACTGTAAAAGTACTGAAGTGTGCATTGTTTGAGAATCAGATTATCATAATATCTGAAAATGCTAACATAGAACTAGTCAAATATCTGTTTTTTTAAAGTAGTCATAAGATAGAATCGTGCAAGTATAATAAAATTTTTCAAATACCAACTTGATTATTAATGATTAAATATGTTATTTCATGTAGCTAAGTCATAAGAAATACTAAAATAATTACAAATGATTTAAATATATAAATTTTCCTACCATAAATTAGTTCATATTTATATAATGTTTCCATTTCTATTGTTTAAACTTATTTTGTATTTTTTCTTAACATTTCTGAAATGGACTTTTTAGGTCGCAGTGCCTTTATCCTACTGGCCCCACCCTGTTTAGTAACAATAACAATCATTTCTAATAAATTTTTTATGTCTGATTCTTCCAATTTGTTTTTGTTATAATATACTGTATATCATTGCATTTAAAAATATAATCATTATTTTATCTTGTTTCA